AACAGAAATGCCCTCAGGCCATCACAAATACTCACAATCAACCCCTGACANGTTCCCACCTTATTTCGCCACATGCGCAACCCACATATAAGCATATATACAATCCCCACCTTGTTACGCCGCATGTGCAATATATCAATAGTAGCAATAGCACGGCAAAAACCTNCGTAGCGACCCCCACAACAACAACCGCACGGCAGAAACCTCGTGCATCACAATATCAACAACCGCACGGCAGAAACCTCGTGCATCAACACCCCAAGTACAACAGCAACAATGACAATATATACAAGAGCACGACAAGTGAATCAACTCAAGAACTTTCGTTTACCAGGGGACGATAAAACTAGCTCACAAGGAATAACCACAATAGAGAATACTAAGCGTAATAAGAACAACTCAACAAGGGAGAAAATAATATGAAGCAACGACCCCATAGCATGTAGTTCAACAACAAGGGAGTTAACAAGAGTCAAGTAAATTTCAAATAAGGAAATATCAACTAAACATAAAATATCTACTCTTCTTTTAAGGTTGGGCAGGTTACGAAGAATATACAACAATTTCAATTAAGACTAAATAATTACATGAGAGATAATAATGATTTCCAATAAAAACAAGCAGTTATGAAAGATAACGTGACAATAGAGGAGGTAAAGATCTTCAGTTAAGCAAAGTAAGAGTCAATTAGGCAATAAGAATGAACCATAAAGCAATTAATTCCAAGTAAAACATGTAGAGGTGAAACTAGTAATAGGGAATTCAATCATATCAAGAACAACTTCATACTCCGTGAATATAAGGACCTAAGGATCCTAAAAGGCCAAGTTTCCACAAGTAAGTCCGAGCACGCACTCGTCACCTCGCGTACTCGGATTACAATCAACAGAGAAGACTCAAATCCTAAGGAAAAGTCCCCCACACAAGGTTAGGCAAGATACTTACCTCGAACCGGCTCAAAATCAACTAGAAACCACGTTCTTGCCACGAGTACTCGACTCCCAATGGCCCAAATCTATTCAATTCAATTTCATAATGTGAATAACACTTCAAGTAACTGATTCTACAATTAAACTCTAAGCTAATATGCGGAATTAGGTAAAATGACCAAAATGCCCCTCGATCCCACGTCTCGGAATCGGATAAAATTTATATTTTCAGAATCCTCACACTCTCATGAGTCTAACCATATCAAAATTATCCCAATCCGATGACAAATACCCAATCTCTAGGTCTAAGAACTTTTCCCCCAATCTTTACCAAAATTCCGAAATTAAAGGATGAATTTAAGAGAAGATTCATGGAAATTAGTCTAAACCGAGTTAGAATAACTTACCCAAGTTGCCCAGGTGAAAATCCCTTCAAAAATCGCCAAGAACCGAGCTATAGAAGTCAAAATATGATAAAAATGGTGAAACCCTCGACTTTGGGATATATTCTGTCTGCCCAGGTATTTGTGCATCGCGATCGTGGGAGAAGAGTCGCGATCGCGTAGAAGAAATTATAAGGATGCCCAGGTTGCTCATCACGAACATGATGATGAGCTCGCGAACGCGGAGAAGAGAAATGCGAGGCTTCGCGATCGCGGAAGGAGAGACGCGAACGCGAAGAAGAAGAAAGCAGGGCTTCGCGAACGCAAAGGGAATGATGCGAACGCGAAGAAGGATTTTCGAGGTGGTCAGCAGCAATGCATCGCGAACGCGAGAGGCGGTTCGCGATCGCGATGAAGGATATCAGAAGCAGCAACTAGCAGTTCCGAAATAGGGAAAAAAATGATCCGTAGCCCATCCGAAACACACCCGAGGCTCCCGGGACCCCGTCTAATCACACAAACAGATCACATAACCCAACACAGACTCGCTCGAGGTTTCAAATCACACAAAACAACACCGAAACGACGAATCAAACCATAAATTGAACTTATGAACTTTCAAATCTTCAAATTTCTAAACTCGTGTCGAAACCTATCAAATCAATCCGGAATGACGCCAAATTTTGCAGACACGTCCAAAATGACATAACGGAGCTGCTCCAAGTCTCGGAATCGCATTCCGACCCCGATATCACAAAAGTCAACTGTGGGTCAAACTTCTTCATTTTCCAAACTTCCATTTTTCCAACCTTCGCCGAAATGCCTCAATTTACCCTAAGAACCTCCAAATCTGAATCCGGACGCGCGCCTAAGTCCAAAATCACCATACAAAGTTGTTGAGATCATCCACGACCCATTCCGGGGCCGTTTACCCAAAAGTCCAATTCCGGTCAAATTTTCACCGTTCAAACTTCTAAAACTGGATTCCGTCTTCCAATTGTTTCTAAACCATCTGTTAGCTGAATTCCACCATGCACGCAAGTCGATACTCATATTCTGAAGCTTTTCCAGCCCTTATGCCGCTGAACAGAGCTTAATTTCTCAAAACGACCTGTCGGGTCGTTACACAATATCAAAGTGAAAAGCTAACTTTCTACTCTTTTTAGTGATTCAATCGTGTTGGCTCGATTTTGTAGCCATAAAATTAATCCTATTATTTCTGCCTTTCTTTTTAAATGAATTTTATTTTTTTCATTGTTCTTTATCGTCTGATAGATCTTGATTATTGTACATAACTAATCTCCTAGCGTGTTTAAAGGTGAATTGATATTTTCTATTAAAAAATATAGTGGGGGTTAAAGATGAATTTTTATCTGGTTATCACAAAGTTTTGTAATATGTACATAATTTTCCAATTCTACTTTCTTTATCTTTTTGTGTTATAGTGAAAGTATTATCTAAGTTAATTCTCTATATATTATAAGAATCCAATTTGAGTTTTTAATTTTTTTAATATTTCATATATGCTATTATACTGCTTAACGATAGAAATGATGTATAATGCATTTTAGTACATTTTTTTTTATTAATATAGCTTAACTAATAATTGATATTTGTTTGTTATTTCTTTGCTTGATTAACTTAAACCTATATTCATGTATGGAATATTTCTTACTGATTTATGAGAGTCCTTTATTCTGACACCTTTTTTTTGTTAATCATGATTTATTTGATACCAACAAAGTGTGTTTCTGCATTCCTTCACAATACTGATTAATGGAGTAATTCCTTAGTATAAAAAAAAAGTACAGAATTAAAGAAAACTAAGAAAAATAGTTTTTATTGTATATGCGAGTACGTCACAATAATAAATGTTAAATCACAATAAAAAGGTACAATAATATATTTTATAAAAATATTCAACATTGACGCTTTAAATTTAACTAAACATGGGGTACACTGGTTACTCAATAAATTCTTTTTTTGAAGATTATGAATCTATGATTTTACTTTTCTCTTAAAATTCATATTCCAGAGAATTTTCGTGCATTATAAAATACTTTTAAACCTTACGACAAAGTTAATAAAAATTCTAATATAACTTTGAAGTGGAATAACAAAAGAAAATTTATAAAAACTATAATACAAATTTGAAGTGGAATAACAAAAGAAATTTTTGAGTTTAAATAAAAAGATAAAATTTTGCAATAGATGTGAAAGTGATTAGCTTCAGTTTTAAATAACTACTTCTAACAGATTGGATTAGGCTGAAGTCTTCTTCTCAACTATATTTGATGGTATCATTTCTATTATGCATAACAAACTTATCAATTTTAATTCATCCAAGGACATGTTTTAATCTTTAAATTCAAATCCCTATTTATAAGATGTATCTTCTATAGCTACATAATTATTTCATGGCTTGATCAGATGCTAATTACACAAGTGTGAAGTTATTGTCATTTATATCATATTTGGTATGAGTCATGAAGATAGAGTTTGGGTGCTAATTAAAGTGGTTGATCCATTAACTACTACAAGACTTTACACCAAACATTTTATAAAATCATCAAACTTGACTTTCTACTAATTATTCTTTTGATATGAGTCGGGAACAAGTACTTTAAAATAAGGAAATGAGTGCTTTCAAGATATTTAGAAATACGGTAAAGATTGTCTGGGCGAGTAATAAGATGGGGAATTCATAGAACTTGCTCTCAGTCAGAAGAAAATATAAGCAAGAAAGAATTGGCTTAGACAACTTGAGGTTGGGACCATTAATACTTTTATTTAATTTTGATTAGCATACATCAAAATATTCCTAATTTGACTCATCATTCTCTATTTTTTATACTCTGCAGCCTGATACCCATCTAGACCAGAAAGAAAAGTACATTTCATATACTGAATTCGTTAACCAAGAGCTTATTCTATTTTTAGTGGCTGATATTCAAAGGTGTATTCCATTAATGCTTGGTGATTTAAATTAGATCGAAGGAAGATTTTGTTTTGTGCCTTTAAGAGGAACTTTGTTAATTTGTACCAACATATTGTATAGTAAAAATGGCCCTTTTCAAATGGTAATAATAAATTTGTGAGAATTAGAATATGGCCAATCATCCAAGATTGCATTTTCTTATGAATGCCTTCCTCACTATCTATTTTCCAATGGATACATATGTTTCCTTATTACTTCAATGTATGAATATCCAGTGGATTTGTATGTTTATAAAATAATAACATTTGAAAGCTCCTTTATGTCTACCATATTTTTCAAGTAATATTTTCTTATAAAAAAAATTATATTTAGCAGCGTTTAGCCATAGATCCTAAATTTGTTTTGAAAAATCTGATTTGGGTGAAGTTTGGTTTGAAGATGAAAATATGTTTGGACATACGTTTTCAAAAAATATTTCCCAACTTTATTTTGAAAAAACGCGTATATAATTTCCAAGTTTTGGGATTTTGGCCCAAAATCAGCAATTGGGGTGATTTTGGGATTTGGGTTTGTGATTTGTGATTTTACCAAAATGTGAGCAAAATTTATGGCCAAATATAAGTTTTGAAAATAAATCCCAAATTATTTTGGCAAAACTAATGGCCAAACGATCCTTGGTATTCTCCATGGGCGAGTACACATACTAGTTACAAACATATAAAAGGTTAGAAACAGGCTTCCCGCCTTCAGTGATCACCATTTTACGTGTTCTAATTCATAGGAAATTCAAGTTTGAGAAGAGCAATTTCATTTCTCCTACAGAGACCAAAAACCTTAAGCCAAGCGGGAGATGTCATGCGCAAATGCGCGGCGAATAGTAAACATCGGTTGGAATTTCAGACAAGAACCTTACTACAATTACCTTGCGCTTCTTGACGCCTGGACAGAATCCAAGTCATTATCAATAGGCAAATCAATCCATCAACACATCCTAAAACACAATCACTGTAATGACAACAATTCAAATCTACTAGACAAGTTAACTCGTTTTTATATCTCCTGCAGTAGAATCGATCTTGCACGCCATGTGTTCGACGAAATTCCTAATACGGATAGAAATAATAAAACCATATTATGGAACCAAATGATTAGAGCCTATGCTTGGAATGGACCCTTTGAGAAAGCTGTTGACTTGTACTATGAAATGGTCGAGTCTGGTGTTAGACCCACAAATTATACATACCCTTTTGTGATCAAGGCTTGTTCTGCTATGCAAGATGTAGAAAATGGTGTAAAGATTCATGAACATGTAAAAAGGCATGGGCTTGATGGTGATGTTTATATTTGTACAGCTTTGGTTGATTTTTATGCCAAGTGTGGGTTATTGGTTGAGGCACGACAAGTGTTCGATGGAATGTGGAAAAGAGATATTGTGGCATGGAATGCGATGATCTCAGGGTGCTCAGTGAATGGTTTGTGTTTGGAGCTGATGGGTTTGGTTTTCGAAATGCAAGAGAATGGGTTAACTCCAAATTCATCTACAATTGTGGCTATTCTTCCTGCTATTGCGGAAGCTAATAAGTTGCGTGAAGGGAAGGCTGTTCATGGGTATTCTACAAGAAGGGGCTTTGTCAATGATGTAGTTGTTGACACTGGCATTTTGGATGTGTATGCAAAATGCGGGTTGTTGAACTATGCGAAGAGGATTTTTAGAGTCATGACTTTTAAGAATGAGATCACGTGGAGTGCAATGATAGGAGCATATATAACATGTGATTCTACGCAAGAAGGATTGGAACTGTTTGGCCACATGAGGGTGGAAGATACTGGGTCTCCTTCTCCTGTCATGCTTGCCACTGTCATTCGAGCTTGTGCTAAGCTGAATGACCTGAGAAGAGGAAGAAAGATGCATGGTTATACTGTTAAGTCGGGGTCCAATTTGGATTTGATGGTGAGTAATACTCTTCTTTCTATGTATGCAAAGTGCGGGAGAATAGATGATGCGCTTAACTTCTTTGAGGAGATGGGTTTAAAAGATTCTGTTTCTTTCAGTGCTATAATTGCAGGGTGTGTTCAGAATGGCCATGCAGAAGAAGCTTTGCAGATTTTCCAAATGATGCAATCGTCTGGGGTCCAGCCAGAATCTGCAACAGTGATGGGAATTTTACCAGCTTGTTCACATTTGGCTGCTCTACAACTTGGAGTTTGCACCCATGGTTACTCGATAGTACGTGGATTTACAGAGGATGTTTCTATTTGTAATGCCCTAATTGACATGTACTCCAAATGTGGTAAAGTCAACATTGCTAGGATTATCTTTGATAAGATGAATAAAAGGGATGTTGTCTCATGGAATGCAATGATTGCTGGATATGGAGTTCACGGTCATGGAAAGGAAGCAATTTCATTGTTCTATGACATGCAGACTGTAGCTCAAAAGCCAGATGAGATAACTTTCATCGGTCTCTTATTTGCTTGCAGCCATTCTGGTCTTGTTGCTGAAGGGAAATATTGGTTCTTCAGCATGTGTCAAGAATTCAAAATTAGCCCTAGGATGGATCATTACTTGTGCATGGTGGATCTTTTGGGCCGTGCTGGTCTCCTAGATGAGGCCTACGGTTTTATCCAGAATATGCCTTTTAAACCTGATGTGCGTATTTGGAGTGCTTTGCTTGCTGCTTGTAGAATCCATAAACATATTGTACTAGCAGAAGAAGTATCTAACAAGATCCAATATCTAGGACCTGAAAGTCCAGGTAATTTTGTTCTTTTATCCAACCTGTATACTACTGCTGGGAGATGGGATGACGCTGCTCATATTAGAATTAAGCAGAAGGATTCTGGCTTTAAGAAGAGCCCAGGATGTAGTTGGATTGAAATAAATGGGGTTGTCCATGCATTTGCTGGCGGGGATCAATCCCACCCTCAGTCCACTAAAATAAATGAGAAATTGAAGGAGATTTCAACGGAGATGAAAAAATTGGGGTACAGTGCAGAATCCAGTTTTGTCTACCAAGATGTTGAGGAAGAAGAGAAGGAACAGATTCTGCTGTATCACAGCGAGAAGCTTGCAGTTGCATTTGCATTGCTAAATCTGGAACCTAGCAAGTCCATACTCGTTACAAAGAATTTGCGAGTTTGTGTTGACTGCCATAGTACGCTGAAATACGTAACTTTAATTACGAAAAGGGAGATTACAGTGAGGGATGCAAGTCGATTTCATCATTTCAGAGATGGAATATGCAGCTGCGGGGATTTCTGGTGAAGAATGATTGAGACTATTTTTGTTGCTTGATTTAGAAATGATTCAGTTTTCTTCTACACCTACTAATGCAACATTGGCTAACTAAACTAGATTGGTGCAGGGTACTCACAGTTGATATCTTGGCTGTTGTTCTGTTAGACCAATTCCTGAGTACATTACTTGGTAGATTTGACAGTAAACCATTTCTTAGATGATAAGTGCAGATAAACTTTTGCATTGCATTAAGATGATGAGTGATGAAGATTCAAGGGATGCAGCGTGTGCCTGCTATGTGCTGAGAATACAACATTGCTCAGTTGCTTGTAAAGAGTCTCATCGATCCAGAAAGTGTAATCAGGGGTATAAATTCTGTATTTTGACTGGAAGATTAACTTGGTGCTGCATCGCACGCTGATCATATACCAGATTGGAGTACTTCATTTTGTGCACTCTGGTCCCACTAATTCAAGTACGTCAAGTTTTATCTTAATGTTGGAATACTTGGAAATCTGATATTTACTGTCAATCAGTAACATACTGGAGCTTCATAGAACCTACACCATGGTTGGCACATGCATCAGTGGTTAAAGGTTTTGATTCCATGACCAATCCATCCAGGTAAATCGTGGGCGAATGCTGGATTTCTGCCATTATGCGGACAACTACTTCAAGCTGTGATTTTGAGAGAGTAGTTCTGTCCTTATATGCTTCTTCATACTAGGATCTACTCAAATTAACTGTAAGGAAGCATTTGATTGGAGGTAGTTGTGACTACTCCTGCAGTTGGTCATATTACCTTAGAGAGCTTGCACCACCCTAAATATCTATCTCGCTAGAAGCAATTGCTTGAAATTGATATAATCACTACTACCAACTGCAAGAATTCATTATGTACTCCCAAGACAATAAGTCGAGAAGGGGAGAGAATGTTTTTAAGCCATTCTCAAAGTTGTACTCCTTGTAGGAAATTCGTAGTTAGTAATTTAAGCGAAGCTGGATTTATGATTATACATCTTAACAAAGACACTTTCTCTTTTTAACTTCAAATTGAGCTTCTGCATTTCCAGTAAGGCTATATTAACATAGGAATGAGTGGATATGGTGTGTTGCTGCTCCAGCAGCAAGCATTCCAAAACTGGAAGGAATGCACATAGTTGGTCTTAGGTTACTCCAATTCTCTATTATTTCCAATAACTAATCGTCATATTTTGACCATTTTATAAGTACTCAACTGCAGCACTACTTGGAAACATAAGACTAGCTTTTTTTTTGGTCGAAACCAACTTGTATCCTGAGCCATCGCTTTAGCACTATGCATTATCCGATTTTTGTCTATAATTCTCAGGATATGCCTGCATAGATATAACATCAAGAAATAGATAGAGGTGGTCCATAAACCATTTTCGAGATAGATGAGGTTTTATCAATCTGTTCTTTGTTTTGAACATCAGTGGGACCTTCTGCTTTCAAAGTCTAATTAGTATGACAATTAGTTGGAAGGCAAAACCATGTGATACTTCAGGTTCTATTGTCTTTAGTTGGTGCCTACACAAAGCCTTTTCAATGCACATTAGTAGGATTATACATGTCATTGGCCTATATAAACACATACCAAGAGGGGTTTACTATAACAACACTCAGCAAAACCTGAAACCATATAAAACTTTTCTTTGATCTCAAGGTCCTTATTAATTATTCCCATCCTTATTTGCTCATCTGTATTGAACTAAACGATCATGGCTCTCAGTATGCCTCGTATAATCAAGAAGTCTTCTACAGCTGGAGATATTCCTAAGGGCCATTTTGCTGTTTATGTTGGGGAAAAGTAGAAGAAGAGATTTGTAATCCCCATATCGTTCTTGAGCCAACCTTTATTTCAAGATTTTCTTAGCCAAGCTGAGGAATTTCTTAGTCAGTGGGTGGTGTCACAGTTCCCTGTAGGGAGGATGTGTTCGTTGATCTTACTTCTAGTTTGAGTAGGATCTGAGGCTTTTTCTTTCACAGTTTTGTGAAGAACTAACCTGAATTTTGCAGTTTGTACACTAGAAGAGTTAGGAAAGACACATCATTCATACCATATCACTGAAAATTAGATAGATGAGGCTACGGTTAGTTGCAACAATAGATCCCAATTGAATGTAATTTTGACAAGAGACAAACATCATATTCTTTAGCAAATGAAATCTGTTCAGCTTCATTCTGTAGCTAATTGTTTTTTCAGTATTCTTGTTGGAGAAATTCCTTTGCTAATGTTGATTAAATCATCAGATTAAGTCAATTTATTACTGAAAGAATTGATTAATACAGCTAAATTTTATTCTTGGTTCCCATAAAATTTTAGGCGTTTAGCAGGCCGTCGCCCGAATTCATGAAGGTGTAGTGGACTTTAGCACACGAAAAATTATAAATTGTCCTGAATTCCTGTATGGCCCTAAAACGCTAAAAACGAGGAACAAACACAGCGAAACAATGATTATCATTCTAGGTTGTTTCTGATGGGCCCACAAAATTTTAGGCGATTTTGAGCCCGTCGCTCGATGGCGTAGACATTAGCACACGAAAAATTAGAAATCATCCCGATTTTCTCTTTTACGGCCCTAAAATACCAAAAGACGAGGAACGATCATGGCGGATCAATGACTATTATTCATTAGGTCGTTTCTAATGGGCCCACAAAATTTTAGGCGATTCAGAGACCGTCGCCCGAATTGGCTATTGTTTATTAGACTGTTTCGGATGAGCTTGCAAACTTTTAGGCGATTCAGAGCCCATTGTCCGAATCCATGAAGCTGACATGGATATTATCACATGAAAAATTGGAATTTGTCCTGAATTCCTGTTTTATGGTCCAAAAACGCCCAAAAAATGAAGAACAATCATGGCGAATGAATTACTATTCTTCATTTGATTGTTTCTGATGGTCCCACAAAATTAACGAATTCAGCACTCGAATTCATGAAGATGGCGTGGACATTAGCACACGAAAAATTAGAAATCGTCATGAATTTCTATTTAATGACCCTAAAATATCAGAAAATGAGGAACGATCATGGCGAAGCAATTACATTGTTCCTTAGGTCGTTTTTAATGGGCCCACAAAATGTTAGGTGATTCGGAGCTCGTTGCTCGAATTAATGAAGATGGCGTAGACATTAGCACACGAAAAACTGGAAATCGTCCTGAATTCCTGTTATACGGCCCTAAAACGCCAAAAAATGAGAAAAAGTCATGGAGAATCAATAACTATTGTTCATTATGTCGTTTCTGATTGGCCCACAAAATTTTAAGCGATTTGGAGACCGTCGTCTGAATTCATGAAGATGGCATGGACATTAGCACATGAAAAATCGGAAATCGTCATGATTTCCTGTTTTATGGCCTAAATTGCCAAAAAACGAGAAAAAATCATGAAAAACAATGATTATTATTCATTCGGCTGTCTTTGATGGACCCACAAAACTTTAAGCGATTCAGAGCCCGTCGGCGAATTCATGAAGATGACGTGAATATTAGCACACGAATAATTGAAAAAGCATCTTTAGTTCTAGTTTATAACCCTATTTAGCACACAAATATTAGCACATTGGTGACTATTGTTCCTTAGGTAATTTTTGATGGTCCGACAAAATTTTAGGTTGTCCTGGTCCTGTGGCCTGGGCCCATGCAAAAGGCGTGGCTATGGCAAACGAAAATTTGGGAATCAGGCGAAATTTCAGTTTTATAGACCTAAAACGCAAAAAATGAGTAACGGTCATGGCGAGGCCGTGACTATTGTTCCTTACGTCATTTTTGATGGATCGACAAAATTTTAGGCGATCCGGGTCCGGTGGCCGGGCCCATGCAGAAGGCGAGGGCTATAACACACGACAATCTTGGAATCGGGCATAATTTAATTTTATGGCCCTAAAACACCAAAAAACGAGGAACAGTCATGGCAAGTCAGGTTACTATTGTTCCTTAGATCATTTTTTTGGTCCGACAAAATTATAGGCGGTCCGGGTTCAATGGCCCGAGCCCATACAGTAGGCGTGGGTTATAACACACGAAAATCTGGAAATCAGGCAAAATTCCAGTTTTATGGCCCTAATACGCCAGAAAATGAGTAACGGTCATGGATAGGCAGTGACTATTGTTCCTTAGGTCGTTTTTATGGCCCGACAAAATTTTAGGGATCCGATCCTGTGGCATGGGCCACTGCAGAAGGCGTAGACTATAGCACAAGAAAATCTTAGAATCAGGCAGAATTGTAGTTTTATGGCCCTAAAAGCTAAAAAATGAGTAACGGTCATGGCGAGGCGTTGACTATTGCTTCTTTAGTCATTTTTGATGGTCTGACAAAATTTTAGGCGATCCGGATCCCGTGGCCCGGGCCCATGCAGAAGGCATGAACTATAGCACATGAAAATCTGGGAATCAAGCGGAATTCCAGGTTTATGGCCCTAATACGCTAGAAAATGAGTAGCGGTCATGGCTAGGCAATGACTATTGTTCCTTTGGTTGTTTTTTATGGCCCAACAAAATTTTAGGCGATCCGATCCGGTGGCCTGGGCTAATGCAGAAGGCGTAGGCTGTAGCACACGAAAATCTTAAAATCGGGCAGAATTCTAGTTTTGTGGCCCTAAAAGCTAAAAAATGAGTGATGGCCATGGCGAGGCGGTGACTATTGTTTCTTAGGTCATTTTTTATGGTCCGCCAAAAATCTGGGAATCAGGCACAATTTCAGCTTTATGGCCCTAAAACGTCAAAAAACGAGTAACAGTCATGACGATGTAGGAGGTGTCGAAAATCTGGGAACTGGACGGAATTCCTATTTTATGACCCTAAAATACCGAAAAAGAGTAACGGTCATTGCGAGGCGGTGACTATTTTTCCTTGGGCCGTTTTTGATGGTCCGACAAAACTTTAGGAGCTTCGGGTCCGGTAGCCTGCGCCCATGCAGAAGGCGTGGGCTATAGCATAGAAAATTTGGGAATCAGACGGAATTCCAGTTTTATGGCCATAAAACGCAAAAAAAACGAGGAACGTTCATGGCGATGAGGTGACTATTGTTCCTTAGGTCGTTTTGATGGTCTGACAAAATTTTAGGCGGTTCGGGTCTGGTGGCTCGGGCCCATGCAAAAGGTTTGGGCTATAGCACACGAAAATCTGGAAATCGAGCGGAATTCCAGTTTTATGTCCCTAATAGACCGAAAAACGATTAACGGTCATGGCGTTTCGGTGACTATTGTTCCTTAGGTCCTTTTTGATGGTCTAACAAAATTTTAGGCGATCTGGGTCCGATGGCATGGGCACATGCAAAAGACGTGAGCTATAGCACATAAAATCTGGAAATCTGACGGAATTCTAGTTTTCTGGCCATAATCGGGGTCCGGTGGCTCGAGCCCATGCAAAAAGCATGGGTTATAGCACAAGAAAATCTTATAATCGGTCGGAATTCCAATTTTATGGCTCTAAAACATCATAAAATGAGTAATGGTCATGGAGAGGCTATGGCTATAGTTCCTTAGGTTGTTTTTGATTGTCCGGTAAAATTTTAGGCGGTCTAGGTCCGATGGCCCGTTTCAATGCAGAAGGCATGGGCTATAGCGCATGAAAATTTGAGAATCGTGCGGATTTCCAATCTAATGGCCCTAAAACGCCAAAAAATGAGTAATGGTCTTGGCGAGGCGGTGACTATTGTTCCTTAGGTCATTTTTGATGGTGCTGCAAGTTTTTAGGCATTCCGGGTCCGGGTGGTCCGGCCCATACAGAAGGCGTGGGCTATAGCATACGAAAATTTGGGAATCGGGCGGAATTTGGTTTTATGGCCCTAAAACGCCAAAAAACAACTAATGATCATGGAAAGATGACGACTATTATTCCTTAGATCATATTTGATGCCCCAGCTAAATTTTAGGCGGTCCAGGACCGGTGGCCCGGGTCTCTACAGATGGCGTGGGCTATATAGCACACGAAAATCAGAGAATCGGGCGGTATTCTAATTTTATGGCCCGAAAATGCTAAAAGAC